GCCGGAAGTGGCATTGTGGCTCAAGTGCTAGAGTGCTAGCCTTGAGCTGAAGAGCTGAGGGACAGTGTCCAGGCCCAGAGTTCAGGCCCCAGGACGGGACCCAAAAAAAAAAAAAATCTGAAATAAAATACAGACATCCTGTGAGGCTTGTGTGGATTGAGCGAATAATTGTCTACAACAGTCCCTGGCACATAAGATGTACTTAGTAAATGTTAAACCACCTTTTGGTACCGAGTAATATCACTCTTCCCTTAATCATTCTTAGCAAGAGTAAGTTTTGGGTGCAAAATCCCCTGAACACAATAGCAAAAAGCCCCAGGCTTCCCTGCTCAGATTAATGGCTGGTGGCTTTCAACTATTGTATGCACATACAAGGCCTCGTTATTTGAAAATTACAGCCTGCTCAATACTACTGGAAGTAAGAAGGTTCTTTGAATGGTGTTTGCCGGCTCCTATCTACTATTTTAATAATAGCATAGTTTCCTTTGTTATTCCAAGAACAACAGATTTTTCATAAAAGAAATGGCTCCAATTTGACAACTATGTGTTCCCAGAAACACAAGATCAGCAGAAGCAGCTTCCCAGTTCATCTTCATCCACAGACCACAAAGCCATTAGGCTGCTGCTACATTTTCATCCTTAGCCCTCCTCAACCTGCATAATTAGCCTTCAAAAAAAAAAAAAACCAACCCAAACCCAGTAAATGTCCCTGAAGAAAACTAACCAAGAAAAGCCATTCTAATGAATATACGAGTCTTCCTCAAATTTTGTTCAGAATTCAGTGACATTTTTATGTGGCTGTCCCCAAAATTGTTTGGTAGAAATGACATGAAGCTACATCAAATCATTTGTAGAAAGCCAACTGACAGACAGACGCCTTGAAACAATCGCATGCAATCAGCTTAGCTCTATTTAAACGCAAAATTAGATCATTTTCTATTGCATTCAAGCATACAATTGCTTAATCATTTTATAGAGCTGCATATTTACTGGACATGGAAGCATTGGAATTAAGTTTCTAGAGAGAAACCCACTCAGAACTCCTTTGTGCTATGGTCTAAAAGGATATTACTGCCAGAGGAGAAATATGTGGAATTTGCCTAGAATTTTTTGGAGCTCCTTGACATTGGGTATATTTGTGTTTTGTGTTCTTAAGACAGAAACACTGGGGCCTTCTAGGCTATAAAAACAAAGGAAATGAGATTATTAGGTAACAAGATAGGTCTCAGCTGCTTCTATCACCTGGACTTCCTTCTCTGGGAATCTACTCAGTAAAAAGCTTTGTTTTGATACTACAAGAAGCAATTAGAAACAGAAAACGAACTCAACTCTTCCCTTTCTGAAGTACAAACATGCCCTGTGTGCTCCTGTCCCATCTCTCTTCTCCTTTCTCTAAGACTGGTGTCGTCAGACTGGAATTTTCTCATTCAGAGAGAATCACCAAATAAACATGTATATGCTAACAGCGACGGATCTGGAAAGAAACCATTTAGAACTCACAGATACAGAAGTAAACTGGCAACCTATTAGAGACAATGTGTTTGGTGTGTCTTGCTGTGTCTGTTATCCCAATACCGACTCCCTACCCCCTCCAAATGTTGATCTTCTTCTCCCTGTTTTGTAGATGTTCGGATGAATTAAGTAAATGGCCCAAGGTAACACAACATGAGGAGAGTGCATGTTAATTCAGCACTGCAATGTCTCGGCTCTTTCCACATTATACAACTTCTGCCAGAAGCCAGGCGCCTGTGGCTCACATCTGTCATCATAGCTACTCAAGAGGCTGAGATCTGAGCTTTGAGCTCTGAAACCAGCCAAGGCAGGAAAGCCTGGTCACAAGTGGACGGTGGCTTAAGGTAGAGCACTAGCCTGGAGAACAAAAGTTGGTGATTACCAACTTTTCACATAATAATGATTTGTCCTACCACAGATATAAATCCATTTCAGTCTTTTAAATGATTGCATAGTAGGTTCCTTGAAAAGATGAACTGTCTTATTTCAACAATCTCCTATTAATGGGCTTTTAGTTTCAAGTTTTTTTGTTTTGTTTTGTTTTGGCTTTTTGGGGGGAGGGTTGTTTTTGCCAGTCCTAGGGCTTGGGGCCTGGACACTGTCCCTGAGCTTCTATGTGCTCAAAGCTAGTGTTCTACCATTTGAGCCACAGTTCTACTTCTGGCTTTTTTGAGTAGTTTATTGGAGATAAGCATCTCATGGGGACTTTTCTGCCTAGGCTGGCTTCAAACAACGAGCCACAGATCTCAGCCTCCTGAGTAGCTAGGATTACAGGCGTGATCCACTGGCACCCAGCTAGTTTCAAAACTTTTGTTATTTTAAAAAATGGTTCTTAGCTGAGCGACAGTGGCTCACGCCTGTAATCCTAGCTACTCAGGAGGATGAGATCTGAGGATCACAGTTCAAAGCCAGCCCTGGCAGAAAAGCCCAGGAGACTCTGATCTCCAATAAACCACTAGAAAAGTGGAAGCTTTCTTGAGCACTGTGGCTCAAGAAGTAGAGTGCTCGCCTTGAGCTGAAGAGTGCAGGGACAACACCCAGGCCCAGAGTTCAAGCTCCATGACTGACAAAAAAAAATCGTTCTTTGGTACAATTTGTACATATGTGCAAAGTTTTACCAAATCCGTTCTTAGAAATGGAATTGTTGAACATGAGTACAATGCCATTCTGTCATCTTGATAGAGCTTACTGACTGCCCACCATATTGATTTACTAGATTACATTTCTAGCAGGAGAATGTGCCAAGCTGTTCTCCTTGTCCCAGGTACTCAATGCGCCATTGGACGTTCCAGTTTTGTAAATTATAGGCTAGCGAGCATTCTATTAATTTCGGTTTGTATTTCTCTGTAAGTGCAGCTGCATTTCTATCAGGTTTAAACATAATTTGTATTTCCCTCACTTTGAATTGTCAGGTCAGTTTTCATTGGATCATTGGGTTTTACTTATTGATATATTTATTTATAGCATTCAAAGATACTAGCCCTTCATCTGTCATTATTTTGAATTTTTTTCTACATTATCATTTGCTCTTAAGTATTGTTCATTATATTTTTTCCATACAGAAATGTTTGATTTTATATATTCAAATAGCTTTGGTGGCTCCACTTACTCCAGGTCACCTTCTGTTACTGAGATTCTTGAAGAAATGTGCTCCACAGGACTGGACGCCTTAGCTCATCGTGCTCACTGTTGGCATTGAACAAGGGACACAAAGCTCCTCTTCTTGTCCTCATAAACCACCTTTTAGGACTGGAGCTGGGCCAGACCCTACATTGTCTAATGCTACTCAGGCATAGCTAACTCATGCTCAAGTTCAATGATATGTATAGGGAGAATGAGAATGGAATCCCTACTTGTTTCATGACAGGCCCTCGCTTCTAGAGCTGGCCTGTGGAGCAGATTTCCATCTTCACTGCTGACATGCTTCACCCTAAATTATGGCCTCCAAACTCTTGTGCTCAGGACCTCTAATTATGAACCTGTCTGCTTAAGAAGAAGAATGAGAAAGGCAGGCATGCTGAGGTGTCCATACACGGTTGAAATATGGATCAGAGAGTTTATATTGGGAGGAAGAAGGAAGACTGTCCTGGGTCCCCTTGAGAGTTTAACCATGCTCATCCATCCTTCCTGCAGGAATAATATGCAAAAATGTCTCCTGTCCCCTGTGGGGTAGATCATCTCCAGTCAAGAATCACTGATGTAGATCCTAAATATATTCTGCCAGCATTGTTTCAAAACTCAACCCTCAACTCCATATGATACAAGATTGGCCCATTGCATAAGCTGAATTTTGAACATGTTCACTGAAGTTTGCAAACTACCCTGAGTTATCTTCGTAGCAAGGGTGTCTTTATGAAGCTGTTTCCTCAGGGAAGATAAAGGATTTAAGATGAAGAAATTGAGTTAATCATATTCGCCAGTCCAAGACACCAATGCCCTCTTCTCTTTCCTGTACATGGACTTAAATTATTTTACCCCCATTTTAACATAAACCCTCGTATTTGATGTGTGCTACTTTAAACTGTTCTTTTCATTTGAGTACTTTTCTATCATCACTTATCCATAATTCGTCATTGTGTGTAGGTATGGAACCAAGAGTTTTTACTTAAATTCATTTAACAGCAAAATGTGATGAAAATCACATGAGGTTCTTTATCCACTTACTATGACTGGTTCCACATTTTACTGTGAAGATATCATGCTTGATCATGAGGTACTGCCTCTCTCCTGTTTAAAATTCAAATATCTTAAAATTCCAAAATAAGTGCAATGCCAAGAGTTTTGTCTATCCTATAATACTGCATAGAGATCGTATTCCGTTTTTTCATCTTTATACTTTTACCCAGTATTTTAATTTTTAGATCCCTTTGAGACATGACTGTCTAGTCTAATACTTTAAGTGCTAGTTCTGGACTTGAACTCAGGGCCTGGACACTATCCCTGACCTTCCCACCAGCCTCTCAAGATAGCACTCTACCACTTGAGCACTCTTCACTTGCAGCTTGTAGTTACTTGGAGAGAGGAGTCTTACAGACATTCCGAACCGTGGACCCTCAGAACTCAGCCTCCCGGGCCACCAGTACCCAGCTTAGTCTATTATTTCTAACTGCTATAGAACGGACCGCTCCTCCGTGAGTGGATTTTGCCTTCCCAGGGGTGGAAGCCGACTGCCTCCAATGCCCACCCCTACACTGAGTAGACGAACACCCTCAGACCCATCCCTGCCCAATCTTCTTGTCTGGCCATACTTTGGGTGAGAATGAAAGACACTTCCTGCAAAGGTGGGAAATGGTTGGAATGACCTTTGCCAAGTCCTTTGCATGCTGGCGTGAGCTTGGCTGGGGTTGGCCACAGAGGTAACAGCTAGTGGGCGCGCTGTGCCACACGCTTGACCCTCTCCTGGCCGCGGTGGGCAGCAGCTGTGCCCCGTGCGGGCGTCTGTCCCCCACTCTCCCGTTTTGTTCCAGTGGTCGTGGGTTCTCCTGGCAATGTCTGCTTTGATTACAATTGCTTTGCAGTGTCTTATCACGAAAGGCACTCACCACAGCGTTGCACACGCAGGTGGTGGGTTCCCGGAGCAGGCCCCTCCACCCCCAGCCTCAGCACCGCACATCCGGGCCACCCTCGCGCACCCCACACAGTCACGCTGCACACAGTCACGCTGGCGCCCCGCGGGACCCGTGGCCAGGCCCCCCCCAGACCCCGGAGGGTGCAGGGAATGCACGCACCCGCACCCCATCCTGAATTCCCCAGCCCCGCATCCCATCAGTCCCGTGGGATCGGGCCCTGAGCTCGGGGTCAGCAAGGTACCGCAGTCCCCCTTGAACACAAGGCGTCGGCGTGGGGCGGGGGCGTTCCCGGGGGTGCAGCTCACCCGGCACGCGCGGGCGTGGCACACGGCAGCGATGGGCCACGGACTCGTGCACGCCCTCCGGAGCCCGCCCGCTCCCGGCTGGGACGCCCCGCGCGGCGGGCCGGGGCTTCTGCACCAGGCAGGGGGCGGAGCTTCCGGGCCAGGTAGAAGCCCGGCTTCTGGACCGGGTTTCGGGACGGGGGCGGGGCTTGTTGAGTGGGCGGGACCTTGTGGGCGGGGCTTGCGGACCTGGCAGCCAATTTCCGTTTCGCTTTCCGCGGGCTGGGGGCGGCGGCGGCGGCGGTG